AATCCCTTCTATTCGAAAGCCAAGCTACGGCGACAACGGCCTGCTCGGTCGAAGAATACCTGTCGCAATGCTATCAGAGACCATCACTCCACGACCGAGGCCACCAGGTGGGCGTCGGCCTAGTGGACAGAACGGAGGCAGCGGCTCCTCAACACAAGCATTGACAAGCACTGCTGATCTTGCACCAGAGAACCTCTTGCACGTTCCCAAGCACAGCGGTGCGCACTCGGACAAGAGCGACGCGACGAATGCGCGCATTCAGCGGGATCTCGACCTGGACTTGCCGGCCGACTTGACGGCCGCGTTGCGAAGGTCCAGCAATGCTACTCAGTGGTCGCTTGGCAAGCCTCCTTCCAGCGGCGCAACAGGCGCTCGGTCGCGCGAAGCAGCAAGAGCACCGGTATCGGATCCTGAAGGCGACGCAATCTTTGGCAAGCCAGAAGCCGACTTGAAGAGGAACGGAAGTCTTGGACGCAAGCTTGGGGCAAAGCTCTCCAAGGCTCTGTTGGGAGATAGAGATCAAAAGGCGCCTGCTGTGCCGTTTCTGCCACAATTCGCATCTGCTGTGCTCGATGGCGGCACAGACGACGAAACAGGCGCAAATGTCAAGATCGGCGCGACAGGAGATCGTTGGAAGGGCGATGGAGCGCCTTTCAGCGGCAAGGAACAGAGCGACGACGATAGCGAGACTGATATGGACTCTGATTGGGTTGGCGGACTACCGCGCGAAGAATTGGAAATGCTCTTGATGCAAGCGAACCAAGTGATCAAGGAGCGTGAGAGAGATCTAGGCGTTGCGGCGGCGATAGGCAAAGCGTTGTTGGAAAAGAACATCAGTCTGCGCGGCAAGCACGAGGGCCTATCCACGCGGCTCTCGAGCACCGTTGACCTCTTCGCGTTGGCCCAAGAGTCCGCCGACGATGATCGACCCATGAACTCGCCGCCCACCACCAACGTTTCGATCGACGAGGACGCTACGCCCATGCCTACGCCATCAGCAGAGTACTTTCCTCGCATGTCCGGACCGCCGTCGGAGCTTCGTTCACCTAGCGTCCAACCACCTACGACTTCACCTCATCTCGACCGAAGCCCTTCAGCCGCTGCGCTTCGCGCCACTACCTCGCATTGGATTCCCGACACTCGCGGACAAATTCCCTCCGCGCCACCATCCCCAGCCGAGTCCCGGTCGCGTGGTCATCGGCATCACACGCCCTCCAGTGCATCTGCGACAGCTGCTCAAGCAGCCCTGGCTCACGCCGACGCACAACGTCAGCTCGACCTCTTGAACAACCAGAACGATCAGCTGTTGACGCAACTGGCTGACCTACAAAAGGAGGCTGAAGAGGCCAAGCGAGCTGGCGGGAAGAGATTGAGGAAGCTGAACAAGGAGATTGATGGGCTCAGAGCGGAGTTGGATTCGGCTACGAAGCGCAACGTAGAGCTGGAAGGCAGTACAGAATCGCGAAGCAATGACAGAACACCAGACACGACTCGCAAAAGCGCCGTAAGACGTTCCCGTGCGGATCTTGCCGCAATGCTAGGCAGCCGCGCTTCTTCATCCATCTCTCCGGGATCTCAGAGAACGACCTTGCAGTCTGCGGCCGATACCTCCGGCTCACGATCTGATGGACCTGAGACGCCGGGTCATTCGAGGTCCTCGTCCGTGGCGAGCTCGCTTGCAGGCGAACTGGGAAATCTGCCAAGCCAGAGTCCTGGCGAACGAGCGCTTGTAGCACAGTTGCTTTCCAAGATCAAAGAACTTGAAGAGACGAATGCAGCCTTGGCAGAGGCGGGCACCGACATGGATGGCAGATTAGGCAAAGCCTTGCAGGAGGGCGAGCGCATAAGAGATGCGTACGAAGCCGTCGAAGCTGGCTCTAGCTTTGGCGGTGACGACAGCTTTTCGAGCACCGTGTCGCCTGGGCGAGATATGCCTAGATCTTTGAGTGGCCTCAATCCAGCGAGCTTGAGTCGACGAGCCGCGGGCAACAGACACATCATAGAGGGACGACGCACCATCAGAGCAGCGCTCAAGAAGGAAGCGGTGCTCAATCGTATCAATCTCGATGCTAGCGACGGCACCTACGAGCTTCGCCTTCCACGTTCGGGCACCGCCTCCTCGCTTTCCACCTGCACTTCGGCTTCGAGTAGCGCAGCGTCTAGTCCGCGCACCAGCAGACGAGCCAGGCTGACTGTGCATGGTCTAATGAAGCCAAAGATCTTCGTCACACCTAGCATGGAAGATCTTGCTGCTAGGAGACAGGAGGATGCTGAACGTGCCGAGGAGAGGCTACAAGCTGGACGACCCTCGCTAGCCCCCACGCTGCAGTTTCCGGTATCGAGACCTTTTCCTACTTCTAAACGTGCCCTTCGAAGCGTCTCTTCGGTCGCTAGCATGGCCGAATCGGACGTATCACCTGTCGAATCGCCCACTCAAAGGCGCGGAGAGAGTGTGCGCGGCCTACCTCGCTCGGAAAGCGGAGCCAGCCAGACGGAGTCGATGTACCAGGGCGCGAAGCGAACCTTTCCATCGAGCGCATCGGATTTCGGCGAAGGGAGACCAGAATCTCGATTGTTTGTGCACTCGCTTGAAAGCGAGCTTGGCAGTGTGCTGGGTGACGCGGACGAGAGAGGGGACTTCAGCCTAAGTGATGATCGTTCGACCTTAACACCCTCTCAAGCTTGGGAAGTCGCCATTCGCACACCTGAGCGCAGAGGTGAAGGTGGTCAGGATGGGGACATGCAGCTTTCCGACCTTGGCAACGCACTTCCCAAGCGCCTGTCGCCTGCTGAACGCTACGCTCATCTGCGACCGACGGCGAGTGTCGGAAGTTTGCGAGGAGCTATGGCCGCTTCGGAAGCTGCTTCTGACATTGCTGACCTGCGATGGTCGGTCAACAGCGCGGCAACAGTGGTGCCTGGACCGTCCGTGCCACGGGCTATCGAAGGTGCGACTGCCAAGCAGTCAAAAGCGGACCTTGACGACGATGGCTTCGGAGCGGTGGACCCCTTTGCAGCCACTGAGCTCGATGCCGAATTATTCAGGCAATTATCGTCTGCAGGAGATGGAGAGTGGCCGGCCCCTGGCGACGATGATCTCATACCTCGAGGCGCGCTGCGCGATCAAGTCATGACGAATGTCGAGTCGTACGATCTTCTGGAGAGAGCCACCAAGCAGAGGCCGGTCCATTGGGCAGACGATGACGATTTCGGTCAAGCCATCACTGAGCGCGAGGCTAGAAGACTAGGACTCCTGGCCGCTGCTAAGAAGACCAGACGAAGCCTGCTTGGCTGGGTATCGTCCTCTTCCCCCAAGTCCGGTAGGCAGTCGGCTGGTTCAAGCAAGCGTAATAGCGCTATCCTGGCCTCTTCGCCCATGCACCCATCGGGCTCACACGGCAGTCTCCTCGAGATTGAGAGCGCCGACCAGGTCCAGGAGCGAGAAGAGCTCACAGCGTTGCTGAGGCAACGTCGAGTTGACGGTCTGAAAGCTAGGGTTCAGGCTGGGCAAATTTCGGCTTCGAAAGCCATCTCGCTTGGCCTGGACCATGCAGATGCGACAGAAGCTGAAGAACGATCTCTGGAAGTCGAAGCGACGAAGCGCGCATTTGCTCTTTCGCCTGCCAGGCACCGAAGGGCCAGTCGAGCTTATGCTTCCGCTGCGAGCTCCGCTAGAGAATCGCCCGCTTCTTCTTCGTCGCTGGTCTCCATAAAGGGCAAAGGCAAGCTGCCGCTTTGCGACCATGCCAGCTTCTCACCTGCGCGTCCTCGTCGTAGGGACGTTGGTGGAGGAGGAGGCAAGGAGAAGGAAGCGGATTGCAATTCATCGGACGAACAGTTTGAAATGCTCGATTTGGATCCTCGAAGGAAGGCCAAACCTCCAAAGAGGGGCACGGACTTTTATCCGGTCGACCTCAAGGCGAGGTACAGGCCTGCTATGGTCAAGCAGAGGGTGCAGGTGGCTAGCAATGATGCGGTGACCTGGGCCACCGCTTGGACCAGCTTCTCCTTGATGATCCTCTTTGCCTTTATCGTTACTTTTGCCGTGAGTTCCCGTGCACGATCTTGCAGCAGCAGCCCTCCGCTGACCAAAGCGGTGTGCTCATCCTCGTCATCGTTCCTCTCCCATCTCGCAGCGCGGTCCTAAACGAGTTTTGGGCCCGCAACCTCCGAATGCACGTCGATGAGCCCTTCGACGAAAGGGTGCTTTGCTCGCTGGAGCATTTCCCACGCAAAGGGCTGCAATTCGCCAACGCACCATCGAAATTCGGTTTCAATTCGCATCTTTTCCCCCCCAAACACTCGACTCGCTCGTGAATTGATGCGGGCAACAGGGCCCATCTATCTGCCCCCCTTTTATCACGCCCTCGGCTGTAAGATTTTCCCACCAGCGAAAATCGCTTTGGGCCTTCTGCCGCAAGTCTATCTCTTCACCTTTCGCATCGCATACATACGCAGCAT